CGTCGTTGTACGGGAAACGCACCCCTTAATGAGTCAGCTAAATAGACTGTTTACACTAGGATTTATATATTGCTATTACACCACATTGCTAAAATAAAACAATACTGAATAGACCTGAATGTACACAGTATCCTATATTACCTATACACTAATAGCATATTTTTATAGCAGCTACCCATAGTAGGCTATGTTGATGCAAATTAGCATTCTATAATTTTGTATAATTGTATAATTATTGTGTATAATGTTGTAATGATTGGGATTATGAATCAAATAAGCAGCTTCTCTGTAAAAAATTAAGTTAAGTTTGCGAACACACTGCTGATGGCAGAAATCTTACTGTTCAGGTCACTTTGACTTTCTATCCACCAACTCAGAGGAAGCAAGTCATTTATCATAAATTTAAACTGTCATTCAAGAAAATGTTCTCTACAGAAAGAAACATGACATGGTTCAAGATCTTCTTCAATAGTCATTGGGCGTCAATACTTCAGCAGCAGGGGATCACAAAGCCGAACGTGACATTATTATAATGCATGAGAGACACTGAGCAGTGAAAAAGAAATAACAGTGAATAGAATTGGACTCTGTTACGAAATGGATGAACAGAGAAACAGAGACAGATAAACTGGAGAAGGCTTATCGTAATTATATTTGTTCTCTCTGCCTTCCATTATGAACTTTATAATTGCCTAAAGGACTATAAGCCGACTATCTGTGGTGGAGAATAGCTTACTCAGAAAGAAAAAAAAGCTCAAGGCTCCCAAGGTTAAAAAGTCCAAGACATGAAATAGTAGTAAAAAAGAAAAAAAAGAAAGAATAAAATAAAAATTAGGATGTTTAAAATGGTCCCACATCAACTGGTCCAATCACAAAAAAATAATACAGGTGAGTGTATAGGCTGTAAATACTTGAGAGGTAATGAAAGCTAGGCCTATATTAAATAAACATTTAACGGTTACATATGCTGAAGTAAATGTTACCTCAAAATTGTAATAAAATTGTAAATTGAACTTACTTCCACTCAAAATCAAATCACTTTATTTTTAAACACATTATGTTTTATTCATCAATATATATTATTTTATTCAAATATGTTATTTATTTTATTCAAATATGTTATTCAATTTTATTTTATTCAAATATATATAAAAGTTTGAATTGCTGTTTTTGAGGAGATAACACAACCAGTATATTATGCCATATGCCAGTTTGGCTAGTTTTTTCCCAAGTGACAGCTGGCGAAATAAATCTTTTCTTTTATAACTTGGCAATCCTGTGTTGAGCTTTTTATTATGCATATTTAGAATTGTCCGTCCCAGCTGGAGTGCCCCAATCAGAACAGACATGCAGCTCATGTTTCCCAGTGGGGAACCAGAGGCATTTGAATCATCTTGTTAACCAACCAATTATATTTTAATCCGTTTTAATATCTGACGGTTGAGGAGTGGCTATTATTATGAATGTTATGTTATTAAATATGAAACTTTAAAAAAAAACAAAATGTGTGTATTTTTTTTAGAAAAGAAGCAATGCACCATTTATCTCAGAAGGGAAAACACACATAATCGAATAAGCTAGGGAAATCACTGTCATTATGAGTTTCTCTGTATTGGCAATTTCAATCCACAGGTGCTCCATGCCGTGGGCGAAGACTTTTAACATCTTGCTCTCTCAGGAGCAAAATTGGATTGGAGCCCAGTTATTGACAGCAGATGTTTCGATATTTAATTTGCTCAAAAGTATACAATGGAACTGAGTGTTGCACACTAAATACCTGATATCTAAACCCATGACTCAAAGAAATGATGTGTAACCTCAGCAATGAACAGCTATAACAGTATTGTGTGTTTTTAAAGAAAATTTGGATGCTTTTCAAGGTTAAGGTTGAATATGGAGAAAGGAGAGAGAGAAAGAGGGATGATGAGGGTGTGGGAGAGAGAGAGAGGGCTGTTTTGCTCCACGGCTGTAGAGTGATAAGAGGTAGAGAGCTGCCTGAAGCACATGGGAGAAGGGCTGCTGTCGCTGATATATACAGGACAAACAGACACTGGGACGCTGGGTGAGTCAAGCACACATCTCTTCTTCTGTTTTAGCCCTCCATTTCATTCATGCACAGCATCTTGGTGAGGCTTTTTGAATGCAAATATGTAAATGTGGAATGCAATTTTTACCATTTATGATGTGATTTAATGACTATGACTGTAATCACCATCAAAACCCATCATGCGGATATCATGAGAGCTTTATTTATCCGAGTTGATTTATTTTCTTCTCATAATTGGGAATCTAACAGGATTGAAAATAGTCCCAATATTGTAAATTAAAGTGTGAAGGAAACAACAACAACATCAACAAATGATCCACTGTCTCTGGTTCAATTTGAGAAAGCAATGCCGAAACGTGATGCCGAAAATGTTTTAAGGGGTCATAAAATACAACTTTAAAATGTGACGGCATTGAGTGAAATGTTCTTGAAATTCCTCACAGAAGGACTGGGCTCTCGGTGACCTGATATGGTCATACTGGCTTCCTGCTGCGGCTCTTTAACACAGTCCTCGCACTTTCTCACAAAGGAAAGAGCTGTGTTTTTTGTCAGTCTTCTGCTATCAATAATCTCACATTGAAATCAAGCCCAGGGTGCCCAAGAAAAGCAGAATAAAGATTTCAAAAGAAAAGTAAAATTTAAAGGCTAAATGTGTGAATGCACAGAGGGAGAACAAATGGGTAGGGAACTGCAACAAAAATAACAATTTGCCGAGTTTTGAGAGGCGCACTGATTACTCCATTACAGCCTCTCAGCGGTTTCATTTTGGAGCATTGTGGGGCAGCATGGCATTATAGTTGTAAAGAAGAATAACTGAAAGACAGGCAATGTCTACCTTTTTAAGTCTCTCAAGTCCATTTTCTGAGAGTGAAAAGTACACCTCACGACCACCATGGGATATTATCCCATCTTTGTCTATCTGAAAGAAAAAAACATAATTTTTGAGTTTTTGATGGAGAACCCATGGCATTCGAAAAGAGTGCACAGCATTTAAACTGTACATTTTGTCACTGTAAAGGTGTGGTAAATTACACATACCACCTGATTCTAAAGCAATAGTAGAAAATCAAGGTTTATTGGCTTTGACGCTGTGGAAATAAGTCAAAACAGAAAGAAAAAAACTGCACTCGGCAAGATGTTTCATGAGCTCTTTGTGCATGTAACATTGTGCAAAGAAAAATGCACTTTAATTGTTTCAAAATGTTAACGTTGTAAAAGAATTATGTCAGGTAATCTGCGTCTGGTTCTCATTTGTAACTCGCTTTTGAATTAGTCATTTTAAAGTATAGGCCTATATTGGAAGTTGATTTTATGGGTCAGAACAGCTAACAACACATTTGCTCTCCATACTAGCAATAGTGATGACAGAACCACTGTGTGAACACAACACAAACTTGTACCTCACAGAACAAATCTAATGCTAGCAAACAGATTCAGGAGAGAGGACAACACAAGGCGTGAATTAAGTGAGCAGAGGGTGAAAGTGTGCTGGAGGGAGAGGAAGATAAATGAAGGGATTTTTGGTACAGCAGAAGTGGGAAGATACACATTCTTACAAGATCGACCCGTGCGAGAAGATCATTTTTCCTCCTTTCAAATGGCCTTAATTCAAGTTAAGTCATGTCCCCTTCATTTATATAGCGCTTTTAACAATATAGATTGTTTCAAAGCAGCTTTACAGTGCTATAGGGAATTAAAGTAACAGAGACTGTTTTGGCTTTACAACAACTCTAGAATAAAGTTATTTTCCAGCTAGAGCTAGTTTTTGATTGATTCACTTCCGTTGTAAAAATCATTAGTTATTAACTTGGGGGCCGCTTACACGACACCGTTTTAACTGAAAACAGAAAAGTTTTAATTAATTCCATAAATAGCAACAACACTTTACCAATAATCCAGCCAACAGTCAAAATGCCAATATTAATTTATTTTGCCCTCAATTATTTGCCTTCGTTTAGTAATAATTCATACTCATGCGGGTTTGGAACAACATGAGAGTGAGTAAATTATGACGGTTCTGAAACTTCGTTTTTTTTTTTTATTCACAGGTCCGCGGGAAAAACACAGACCTGGCATCCCTAGCTTGAACTATGAGTGATTCATAGCCTCAAAAAGAGTGCTTTAACATTGCCATTTTTGAACTGTTAATGCGTTATTATTCGTTAACTTGCCCTAAATTCAAAACGAGACATTTTCTTCACACACAGTAAACGAGTTACTGTCTGAAGACGTTTTTCTGCCTCCTTTTGATTGACAGGATATAATCGGCCCTGATCTTCGGCTGTTTTTATTGGCCGATAGATCGGTGCATTTCTAAAACAATTATTTTTATTAGGCCTACTTGAAATACAATAAACATTCACTGAAATCTTATCTTCAGTTTCCAAAACAACATTTCTCATTTTCATTTAGTTTCAGAAAAAATGAAAACTAAATAAAATATAGGCTAATATAATAAAAGTATTTAAAATATAATCAAATATACAGACATATAAATAAAAAACTCAAACAAAAACACAACAAAATTACTAAAAATTTTACTCAAATTGAAATGAAAAAGAAAATATATATATTTTAAAAAAAAATACTAACAAGAAGTGTATTAATGATACTAAAATAACTCCACATGGCAACGGGTTGAATGTACCGGTAAGTGTTTTCCAAATAACTTGACATATTTTCAATGTCACATTTGTATTAAAAATTATTCAATTCTATAATTATTCAATTATTATTCAATTGTTATGCCAAGCGGCTTGTGTCTTCCTGTCAGCAATATTTATGTCTACTGAGCCAGCCTCATTTTGCTATGCAAGGATGCCAGAGTTTTCCTCAAGCAAGATTCCAGTCTTAAATTTGAATGTAGACTTCAGAAGTGAAAATATATTTCACTTATATTATATTATATATTAAATTGCTCTCTCTCTGAATGATTTTGCTTACAGCAATAGTAGATGAATCCATTCTTACAGACCACGGTTACAATCAAGCTCCCAGCAGGAGCATCCCTGGAGAGAAACATTCATTACAGACCCTCACCTTTAAGGATTTACCGTGTCCTTCGCCACAACATGGATATTCTTTTCGCCTCTTCCTCCCCCGTTTTATGCCAGCACTCTGAATATAATCTCACAACTCTCTGTCCTGGCAACCAAAAAGTAAACTCAACAACTCCTGCTCTGGTTAACCCACCAGGGTTTGGTATGTCCTACTTCACCATGACCCTCGGTGCCCTCTCAAACCTAACCGCTCTAGCAATCCTAGCCCATTCCTATGCCTGCTTCCGCCGGCGGGCCAAAGCGCCGTTCCTCCTGCTGGCTTCAGCCCTGCTTCTGAGCGACCTGGCAGGTCACCTGATCACAGGGTCTTTTGCACTTCACCTCCATCTTGAAAGGGTGAAGCATCACGGGGCGGCAGTAGCAGTGGAGCCTCCTCAGGTTTACTGCAAACTATTTGGAGCATGCATGGTGTTTTTCGGCCTCTGCCCGCTGCTGCTGAGCAGTGCGATGGCAGTGGAGCGCTGCATAGGCATCACGAAACCTCTCCTGCACCCCGCGGTTGTCACCATGACACGCGTCCGCCTCACCGTGCTCCTGATCGCCTCCACGGCTCTCACTTTGGCGGGACTCCCTCTGCTAAAAGTGGGCAACTACAAACCACAGTTTCCCGGCACCTGGTGTTTCTTACCTGTGAACGGTCCTCTTTCGGTCGCTGACGCCAACCTTGCTTTGGCTTTTTCCATACTGGGGCTTGTAACATTGAGCGTCTCAGTTGTGTCTAATACTATAAGCGGGCTGAAATTGCTCCAGGCAAGGTTTAAGGACCGATGTGTTAAGTTAAACGCTGCTCGGAAACATGGATCCTTCTCATTTTCGTCTCTGCATTCCCTGGATGTGGAAATGATGACTCAGCTGGCCGGGATAACCGTGGTCTCCTGCGTCTGCTGGAGTCCCTTTCTTGTGAGTGAGGCGTTGTTGCATTTGATTGTGTTTCACTGTGTTTTCTGGACTTGTTGACTGTTTTCCTCTTCATTTCACAGATTTACATCCTCATATCCGTTGGCAGGTTTTATAAAGGAATCAGCAGACCGGTGCGTCAGTGTGAAAAGCTGTTCCTCTTGGCTCTGCGCTTGGCTAGCTGGAACCAGATTCTGGATCCGTGGGTTTACATCCTCCTGCGGCGAGCGGTTCTGCGCAGAGTTCTTCGGCTTCTGCAGCCGGACAGAGCTGTGTTTACACAGAGCAGCTTCTACAGAGACTCGCACAGAAAGCAAATGAGTTTACACTGATTACACATTTGCTTACAGCCTTACACTAAGTTCGAATATGTTTACATGGGGTCATTCACCAAAAATATATGAAATCAAATATTTATAAAGAATTTGTGTGATTAAGAAGTGAAAAGAAGTGCGCTTAACTGATTGAATGTGTACATACTTCAAGTCTCAAAAGTATAAGCTAAATACAGGTGTAAACGGGGTCTAAAACGTTTTGAGCTTGTCCACTTTCAACCACTCCCAGAGGTAGTCGGAAACGCATTTGACCGGTTTGCTTTCGTAGCGTAAACGCTCATGTGATCGAATGTGTTCGAACAGCTACAAAAAGACGCCTGCTCTCTGCATACTGACCTGATGTGGGAACATTAGTGGATAAAAGAGATGGATTAAAACACCAGATGTAAACGAGTATGTGTCTGCCTCGTCTTCTTGTGACCCGTTCGACCAAAACAAATCTTTTTTGTCTTTTTTTTTTATCATTTTCATGAAGACAACACACATGCACAATGCCACCAAAACCAGACTGATCTCATGAAATGGCGTATGTATGACACGCCAAATCGTATTTCCATTTTTGGCGTGCTATCAACACGCATAATCGCTTTTCAGCGTGTTTATCAACGCCTTGACTTAACGTTACATTACTGTATATATAGATATATGACCTACCCCAACCCCGTCCCTAAACCTACCCGTCACTGGGGTTAATACCATTTATGAGTCTTCCCCTACCATCCTAGGAAAAAAAATATTGCTCCACAGATGTAAATATACATTTTTCTTCATTTCGCTTGTACATTTAACGGCGTACACATACACGCGGAATCACTCGGACATTTAATGGCGTAGACATACACGCAAAAGATGACGGTTCATTTTGGCGTGGAGTCGGACATACACGCGGATAGCTCAAAATGCGTATAGATAACACGCCACTTGACTTGAAAGTGGCGTGTATGTTTACGCAAAGTCATGATGTCATGTTGCCAAAACAGTAACTATACAGGAGTACGACTAAATCTACTTTTCTAAATCTACCATTGTACATGCTACATTGAGCTAGGTACTTACAGCTTTTTAAATTAGAACATCCCTCCCCCCACAATATTGCAATGATTGTAGAAGGTGCCTTTAAGTGCTCTACAAACAAAAACATTTTGTAAATGGGCAAAGAATAAACATACACAGTCTTTTATACTAGTGAATGGCAACAACAGAAATTAAAATAAAATATAAAGCTTGTTCAGTCCATCTGTAAGAATTTTCTTATTGGTTCCCAAATCTTAATGAAAATTTATAATTTGTCTTTTAATATAAATCTCAGTTCTTCCAACTACAACATATTTCCCAGTTCCCTAGCCCACATCTCAAAGGTGGGGACAGAATCTGCTTTCCACATTTGTAAAATAAGTCTTTTTGCCAACATCATACACAGCGAATTGGCCGGTGTCTGATATTTATTACAAAAAGCATTCTCTGCTCCTAAAAGTCCAGTGCAAGGCTCAGGCTCCAACTCAATAGAATTTGCTTCAGAAATAAATTTAAATATACATTCCCAAAATGACCATAAAGAATGAAACAGTGTGCCTTCTGACATTTTACACTTACAGTATTACGTGGGAAATAAATCGTGGGATATATTTTATGAAGTTTTGACTTAGAATAATGAAGCCTATGAATTACCTTGAACTGAATCAAATTGTGTCTAGCATTCACAGAACATGTGTTTCTCAAGCATGCATCCCACACGTTTTCATGAATGTTAAAACCAATTTCCTCCTCCCAGTCATGTTTTATTTTCTCTGTGTTACTGTCCACATTTTCAAGCAGTAATTTGTAAAAGTTAGACACACTACCATTCATACCAGGATGTACATTAACGATTCTCTCTAAGGTGGGATTCAAATTCAAAACTTCAAAGTTTGGAATGTGCTTTCTAAAAAAGTCTCTAACTTGCAAATAACGGAAGAAATGTGCAGAAACAAGAGCATAGTTTTGTTTTAGCTGTTCAAAAGAGCTAAATGTACCTTCTCTATAAAGATCCTGAATTGTTACTATACCCAGATAGCATGTAATCATTGAAACAATGTTGACTCAGTGTTGATGCGTCAACGCTAATTGCATTGAATTAACGTTACAAAGTAATGTTGCTTTAGTATCACTCTTGCACCCTCAGTTAATGTTGAAAAAATTTTGGGAATTCAACCAAAAATCAATGGTAATAGTATTGATTCAACATTACAAAGTGATATTTTATCAACATCACTTTTGCACCCTCAGTTATAATGTTGAAATAATGTTGGGAATTCAACCAAAAATCAACGGTAATAGTATTGATTCAACATTACAAAGTGATATTTTATCAACATCACTTTTGCACCCTCAGTTAATGTTGAAACTATGTTGAACAAAAAATCAGTGGTAATGCTATTGAATCAACGTTACACTATGATTGATTATACATCACTGCTGTTGAATCAATATTGAAATTAACAAAAATAATCAATGGTAATATTGTTGAATCAACGTTACACTATGATGTTGAATCTACATCACTGCTGTTGAATCAGCTCTGAAATTAACAAAAATAATCAATGGTAATATTGTTGAATCAACGTTACACTATGATTGATTCTATATCACTGATGCTGAATCAATATTGAAATTAACAAAAAATAAACTTTGGTATTATGGTTTGATCAGTGTTACAATGTGATGTTGATTCTAAATACATTTTGTTGAAAGACTGAAAAGGAATGTCAAACAATGTTGCCATCTGATGTACCAATTAATGTTGAAACAGCATTAATATTTCAATCACACTTCAATGGTGCGTCAACAAATTCCTGACCATTTCAAAATTTGTCGAAAACCTTTTCAAATATAAATGACACCTTTCCAGCAGTTGAGTCAATTTATTTTATTCAATCAATCAATGACAACAAATATATTAAAATATCATTTTTTTTAAAGAAAGGGGGAGAAATAGGACAAAAGCATTTCAACCTTTAAAATAAAATTGGCTTCAGAAGTCTGATGTCATCATAACTACAGGTCCAGCGGTTCAGGTCTTTAAAAATCTGTCTTGCATCATCAGATTATGCCTCTTTTCCTTTGAATTCTCTGGAATCTGAAAAAGAAAGCATGATGTTACTCAAGAACGAATCAATTCAGTTGTCATACATACAGTCACATTCATTAATGTTAATATACTAAACACAATATGATTCTTTTTGAACTTTTTTTTTTAAAGTCACTGAAAACAAAATATTCGAACTACTATTATAGTATCGTAAAATTCTGTTTATTTATTTCTATGAATGCTTTAATATCAAAAGAAAACACTAGCAGGGGTGTCGGATTTATCTCCAGCCCTATTAAACACACCTGAGGCAGTTAATCAAGGTCATCAGATCAATGAACACTTCAGGTGCTGGAGCTAAACTTTTCATGAAGAGGAACAAACACCTCTGAGCTATAGCCATTAAATATCTCAGTTCATTTTCTGTGAAACTACAGCATTCAAATAACACTTTTTGATCTTGTAGAATAAAAAAGATCTTAGTTTTTTTCAATGAAAATTTATTTAAAGAGATAGTTCAGCCCGAAATGAAAATTCTGTAATCATTTACTCACCCTCAAGTTGTTCCAAACCTGTATGAGTTTCTTTCTTCTTTTGAACACAAAATAAGATATTTTAAAGAATGTCGGTAACCAGAAAGTTGACGGTGGCCATTGATTTCCATAGTAGGAAATAATTACCATGGAAGTCAATGGCTAACATCAACTGTCTAGTTACCGACATTATTCACTCTATCTTCTTTTGTGTGCAGCAGAAGAAAGACATTCATACAGGTTTGGAACAACTTGAGGGTAAATAAATGATGACATAATTTTAATTTCAGGCTGAACTATCTCTTTAAAGCTGCAGATTCACCTTTTGTAGACCCCAATCTCTTTAAATATCACAAAATAGCCATGTCAGTCAGTTTCTTAATAAACACTAGATGTTTTTTTGTTATTGTGTTTCAGTGGAAACAAGCTAAACTGAATGGAAATCAGTTATTTCTCAAATTTGATACAGATTCAGGAATATGAATGATTACCTGATTAAGCAGTGATAAGATACAGGATATCATCAAGTCCCAGGTCAGGTGATTATGCTGTCGACAACAACTCAATGTATGATCAATGTCAGCATTATCAGGAGAGTGCTTTTTTAATTGTCCATCTTCATCTGCCTTCACTCCTACTAAAGGAGCAATGTGTTCTGCATGCAAACACTGACCGATTCAAGACATGGGCTATGTTAACATTCTTGCTCATGTTCATGTCTCTTGCACCTTAAGAAATCTGTTAAATGACATAACTTTATTCAGGAAATTCCTAATAAACTTTACTAAAGCAAGATACATTTTTTAAGAATGTAGAAAAATAGATGCTTTATTCAAACACTTTAATAACTTTGTAATCTAATTACAGTGAGTAACAACACAAATCAAACGCAAATAAGCATGCAAAACAAAGGAACAGAGAAATAAGGTAGATGCACCATTGTTTGAAACTGTGCTAGAGAAGTCATGTAATGCCGAGTTCAGACTGCACGATTTTAGCCCCGATTTTGGCTCGCCGACAGGTTTTGAGAAATCGCCGACAAATGCCCGAAATCACAGGCAAATCGGTGCTCGTTCACGCGAGTGTCAATCACGCAGTGTGAATGAGCAAAGACGCGATCTGAGAGAATCGCCGACGAGTCGCCGACGCCCGTGAGATATTTGGCATGCTAAATATCTGGACCTGTCGGCGATTCACAATCCTGCTGTGTGAATGTGTTCTGACTGAAAACTACATCGGCGATGACCGACAGCCAATGAGAGAGCAAGATACAGGGAGGAGGAGAAGGAGTCCAGAATATCAGTATTTTAATAGATAGGCCTATATTTACAATTATATCAAACAGAAACAAAGCACAAACATTTGCATGACCAGCAGCAACAGCAGGACATGTGCAAAATTAT